GTTCATATAAATTTATATTTATATACACATATTTTTATATTTATATAATATAAAAACATTATAATATATAGAAGCATATGTTTAAGATACAAATCAAACTTTATCAAACTTCAAATCATCAAATTACACTAGAATAGAATAGAATAGAATAGAATAGATTAGAATAGAATAGACACTGACCTCAGTGGTGGTGACATTTGACAAACTCTGGCCACTTTAGTCTGACCCTTCTGGGCCTTTACCCTCAGCATGAACAGTATGAATGAGAACAATCTATTCAATGGCCTCCATGTTGAATGTGACCCTTATATTAATATTTAATGAAGTGAAGGGTAAGTGAATGTTTCTGAGGGAGGCTTGGCTCTCCAGGGTTAAGTGAGCTGTTAATAATTGATGATGTGCTGATTTTTATGGTTCTTTGAGCGTGTTAATAGAATAATGTACTTACTGACTGCACGGCTAGAATAATGCAGTTAATGTGTGTGTTTATGAATAATGTAATTAGCATGTGTTCAAGGGGTCATAGCTGAGGGACACAGCACTTAGATACACACATCTACATGAGGGACCGCAGTATGTGTCGGTCATTGCTTTCTAACCTTATAAACACCCAACTGATTCAAATCTTGTTTCATCTTTTCCATTTCCGCTGTCCCCACCTCAGTGGTGGTGACATTTGACAAACTCTGGCCACTTTAGTCTGACCCTTCTGGGCCTTTACCCTCAGCGTGTACAGTATGAATGAGAACAATCTATTCAATGGCCTCCATGTTGAATGTGACCCTTATATTAATATTTAATGAAGTGAAGGATAAGTGAATGTTTCTGAGGGAGGTTTGGCTCTCCCCGGGGTTAAGTGAGCTGTTAATAATTGATGATGTGCTGATTTTTATGGTTCTTTGAGCGTGTTAATAGAATAATGTACTTACTGACTGCACGGCTAGAATAATGCAGTTAATGTGTGTGTTTATGAATAATGTAATTAGCATGTGTTCAAGGGGTCATAGCTGAGGGACACAGCACTTAGATACACACATCTACATGAGGGACCGCAGTATGTGTCGGTCATTGCTTTCTAACCTTATAAACACCCAACTGATTCAAATCTTGTTTCATCTTTTTCATTTCCGCTGTCTCTCTCTCTTCTTCTCATTTCCCCCCTCTCTCGCTCTCTCTCATTGATTTTCTGTTTGTTTTTCAATCACATTATTTCCTGCGCACAGCGGTGTAGCCAGCGGCTAAATGGCCCCTCTCCTACTAATTGGACGTTTAATTAGATCACAGATTTGGCCCAATTAGTCGCTGTAGGGAGGAGAGGGGATAGCCTGGGGGGGCCGTGTGTGTCTGCGTGCGTGTTTATGTGAGTAGATGGTGAAGAGAGAAAGCGAGGAACAGAGATACAGAGAAGGGGGAGTGAGAGAGAAAGAATGGGAGGGTGGAAAAGAGATATCTTTCTCTAGGCTGCCTCATTAGAGATGTCAGAAGGGGTCTGCCATAATACTTCCCCCTCACTACGAGTCTGGCCCCAAGAGACCTATCAGAGCAACCCGGCCCAAGTGTGCTTCGGGGACTCAGACCGTGCCATCTCTCAGTCTTAGGATCAGTTCAAGTCACTGCTGTCCTACCTGAGAGAGCCACCACCAGCCTCAGTTTATCAGTGGCTAATGCCATACCTTCATGAAAACAGACCAAGGGCGTTTTCTTTGAGATGTCACTGAACTAAAAGTTTAGTACAAATTATCATGTCAAATAGGCAGCAGAACATTTGCCTCCCATCAGCTCATTGTGGTCTCATAGAGGGCCTAAAGCAGGGCGTGAATGATAGGGAGTGCCTCCACATCACTGTGATTGGCTGATTACGCTGCCAGCAAGATGATGGTCACCATGTTTACAACTGGCCTTCAAAATGACAGACATGGCCTGAATGGGTCAAACTTGTAAAAATGCGTAGCAGTTGGACTCATTCAGGTCTTCTTTGTCAAAGTAACCTGCTCGGTTGGGATATTACTAATTTTGGTAAACTGTAAAAAATGACCGTGATTTTAACAGTAAAAAAGCTTCCATACTATAAACGGTGAATAACTGTGGTTACATTTAATGTAATTTTACAGTGAAATACTGTTAAAATGATGGTTTTTGGAAGTGAAATAGAACAAGTCAATGTATAATTTACAGTGTAAAAAAAAAAAAAAACATAAAATTGACATTCCCAGAATTCCCTGCATGGCACTTCACATCTGATGCTTTTTTGTTGAAATAACTATGTTTCTTCTTAGTTTTTTCTTATAAGTTGTGTAGAGTTTTAGCTTGCATCTAATGTTGTTAAATTAAAGTTTATTGCATTAATTCAGTATCACTTGTGTTACCAAAAATGGTGTTTAGTATTTGTGTGAATGACATTGTGCACCTTCTATATTATTAGTATTTCCCTCCTCAGCTTGTGGAAAAGCTGTTTGTGATGAGCTTTGATTCATCATGTGACTTTCTCATCACCACCTGCTTCTGGTGTTTATCAGTGTATTACAATGGCACAAAAGAGATATTAGTACTTCAATAGGTTGGTATATTAACATTATATTAGTTAATGAAATTTGTTTTTTTTACTGTGAATTTAAGTTAAGTCTATAAAACCTAAAATGTTGATACCATGTTTTTTATGTTTGTTTTTTTTACAGTTTGAATTGAAAAGACTTGAATCTCAAAATGACCACTGTATTTGACACTTAATAATAGCAAAGAAGCAGTAGGCACCAAAAGAAGTATATATATATATATATATACAAAATATGCTTGAACTGTATTATTAAATGTATTATTACTGTATTATTGTAAATATTTTTTAATGTATTTTTTAAAACCACATGATATGACCTATTATAACAATAATATAATATAATAATATTATGATATAATGAAGATAGGGGACTGATACACCACTGATACAGACTTTTAGTTGTGAATTGTGATAATACTAATATTGAAAAATAATAATAACACTAGTAAATATGTTTTATTTTTAAAGTGCCTTTCTCACATTCAAAACACTGGAGAACAATATAAAAAGTAAACAACTCTAAAAAAGATTACAAAAATAAGTAAATAAATTAAAGTACTAGATAAATAAAATCAAAACTATTATATGTCCAAATCAATGCACAGGAATAAAAAAAGTGGATTAATTCTTATAAATTTTATTAAAATTATGAGTTTTTAATAATTTCTTGATTTGTACTTATGAATAAGGCAGGAATCTGTTTATGGTACGTGACTGTACAATAAAACCTATGCAAAGGCTCTACCTAATAAACCTATGCAAACTCTATGCAAAGAACTCTTTAATGCACTGACAGCTTCACCACTTATTGTCCTGTATTGCGCAGTGTGTTATACATCTTAGATGTCACACGTTAGACAGTGTGTATTATTTAATAGCACGTATGTTTTTGTTGTAACTGATACCTTTGGAACTACATAATTGCATTACATCGCCCATTGGAAGCCACACCTCCTTCACCAGAGGGTCTCATTTGTCGCTCGGCATTATGGGAGACCACGGCTAATGAGACACAAGGTGATCATGTCAGTCAAGACACACTACGGATGGCATCCGCAGGGATGCTTGCATGCATCCACAGCATGGAGCCCTTTCTCCTTGAAGTAAGTATGGAGGATTTGCCCTCTGGGCATTAGATGAAAGGACCGATGTCTCTCAGCGAGATACTTAGAAGAGATTTGAAAAAAAAAATGAAGCTGTTTTTGGAAAGCGAGAGGATAATGTGAATCATACAGATCTGCAATTGCAATGCCAGACACTGCTTTACTGACAAATGTGCATACAGCTTAATTTCTGGCCCTATGGTTTGTTCTTCATTATTCTTTCTTTTTTCTTCTTCTCTGTCTCTCCTTCTCCCTAAATCCTGACTCAGCTGCTTGTGCAATAAGATGCTGGTGGGGAGTCATTTGGCTGGGCTAGACAAGCTAGA